CCTCGTTCAGCGAGGGGAGGGCGCGAAAATGGCTGCCGGCCATAGAGGGACATCGCTGTACGGTGAGTAAATCAGCCGATTGGAATGCATTAAACTAAGTTTAATGCATTGCAATGGCTTTTTTCTTTCCGTACAGCGATGTTTCACACAGCGAGGGTTAATCCGGAACGAGGCACCACTGTAAATTAAAAAGAAAAATAAGAATTTTCTTGGGTTTTATATTGTTTCAGACATGCAGTTCTAGAGAGAGTAATACACTCCTGGAAATTTTATTTCCCCTTTAGGACTCAAGGTGACCCTGTTCGCATTAGGCATTCACATTCCCCTCGAAGCTATCGCCAGTACCGACGTTCCCAGTGCTCTGATGGAGAGAGATCTGTTCTGTCAGAAGTGAAGTACGTAAAGTATTGAAGTGATGGATTGCTTCATCACAGAGACATACCATCCCCCGATCCAATTGTGTACAACCTTCATTTAACATGCTACTAATGCAACATTGTAAGATGGAAAATCTGTGGCCCTCCAGATGTTAACCAGCTTTTGTCATGCCTCACTTTTTGCCTTGCTGGCTGAGACTGATGGGAGCAGGAGTCTGTAAACATCTAGAGGGTCACAGGTTTCCCATCCCTCTTTTAATGCACCTGGTGTTCCCTGCCTGTCTTCTCAGGAAAAATGTTGGGTGGGAAAAGTCAAGATTTGCCATTGTAGCTTGTTACTCAATTTTTCATTCCAGTTAGTGATGCCTAAAAGAAAATCCATACCATTATTTCCAGAATGGTCAAACTCCTTATATTTTCAGAAATACAAAGTGTATTACCAGACGTGGTTATCCTGTTAAAGAAGGCAGTGCCATATATAAAAGAAATCATGTTCTTCTTCCACTGGGAATATTTGTGGAGTTCCTTGGAGTAAAAGAGGTCATTGTCTGACTTACAGCATACCATGAGAAGCAGCTCGTGTCTTTTAGAACCACGCCCCCATAACCAGCATTCCTTATAAGCAGGGTCCAAACATGCAGGAAGGTGGATTGGCCTGTATCAGTAAATGAGGAGCTGGACAGCTGATGGCTCCTAATTGCATTCAAGACAAAAGGCACCCTCAGATACTTTGCATTATAGTAATGCAATATACTTGCAATAATAATCTGCTCCCAGTAAAACTGGTGTCTCTTCCAGCTACCTGTAAAGACTGTAGTGAAGCTCAGAGGAAACAGATAAGCCAGGCAGGTGGTGGATAATTTCATGGTCCCTGCTCCTCAGAAAGTCCCAGAGCTTTGACACCTGGATCTACTAAACTATTGTTCAGAACACAAAAGCAGTACTGTACGTTTCAAGTTGAATCCTATAGCAGCATCTAGCAGAAATACTTAAGAATATCTCAAAGTTGGACTACCAAAATTCAGCTTTTGGCTTGAAATTTGATTATTGGATCACAGCCAGTTGTGTCCATCGGCCAACTGCATGGATATTAAGAGATGTACATTGACCCCAACCCAGTCCCTATCTGGAAAAAGGCACACCAATTTGTACCCGACTCTCCCTGCCTCCTTTTCCCGTTGGTGGTGACATTGCCATGCCCACAAAGAAAAACCAAAAGCAGGGATAATGAGAGGAAGACTCTAATTACCAAAGTGAAGTTTGACCTAACTACAAGAATGCAAACATTCATGCATATACCCACGCACGCTCTTAGTAGTGTAACTGATTGAATTTTTTAGAAAGTGCAAGAGGAAAGAAGAAAATTAGGGAAAAGAAAGCCTAGGCAATATGCTCCAGCAAAGTCCCTCACTTTGCCCCACAGCTTTAAAAAAGTGCTGGGAGCAGCTTTTACAGGCTGGTGGCTCAGAAATTCTTAGCAACTGGACTGCATGGGAGAGGTCTTGGGCTTCACCGAGCAATGTAGAAGTCAGTCTTATTAGCAGCAGCTCTTCATGTTCCACGTAAAGCATTGATAATGTCAATTCCTTTTTCTCCATTTTGAATAACATGGTGTATTTCGAAACATTTTTAAACCCTCAAATGAAAGATTGACCAGAAATGAAAATGGTCCTGATCTGACTCATATGTATACATTTGTCCAAGGACAGTGCACATCCCTAACAGGTAACACTGGCAGAATAGATTCCTGCTCTTCCTACCCTGCAGTGCTGGGGAAACCTATGGAATTGATTTGTGGAGGCAGATTGGGTGTTCTGGGAGCTGAGAAGGAAGAGGAGATTCCTCTGTGAGATGTCAGATGTTGCCCATTGTAATAAAAACTGTAATTCACCCTTGGGCTTCAGTTGAGAATAATGGATAAATGGAGTTCATTTTATCTTTCAGCTCAAAAACGGACCTGGTACCTCCATTACCTGTAACTCATTCCTCAGATTCTCAGTGTGCCAGTATTACTGTATCTCATCAGGTTGGTAATCGAGTGTTCTGTGTTTATATTCACGGTAGATGATTCAACAGGAATCTCAAAAGAGACATTTAGAATTAATGCTTTTCAGCTGAAATTACTGGTGTCCATAATTTTGTGCAAGCGGTGTTTACAACACAAGATTGTAGCAAGATGCTTAAAATATATTTGGTTATTTATTAATTCAACACTTAATATTTGTCATCATGCTGATTTTTTAAAAATTTGAAATTCTCTTCCAACAAACTTGTATCTGTGTCCTTTATAATCACATATAATGAAGTAACAAAAACTGCATGTGTATTTATTCTATTTAATTTATATGTAAACTAAGGCAGTTTTAAACTAAACCGTTTAAAACAACAAAATCACAAATATACAACAGAATTTTTTATTTTTTAATTAAACACAAACAATAAAAACTAACCAAAACAAAGACCAAAAATAACATACATAAAAACAAATCTGAAAAACAACTTACTACACATGCCACCTAGTGCTTCCCAGACCACTGGAGATAATCTGTTTTCCTTCCCTTTACAAAGCCCCATTTCCCTTCCTAAAATACATTGACTCTTGTGGAGGTACACAGCCCTTCCCCTTTGTTAGTACAAAATCGATACATTCTCCCCATATATCTCTAAAAAATATTCTTATATTTGAATTAAATTCAACAATATTATTAAAATAAAATTAAAACACTTTAAAATTGCTTGATTAAAAATGCTAATCTCTGTTCATACAGGCAAAAGACAAGAAATCAGCTAAGGTCTTAAGGCTGTTACTTGCTAAAGGCCTGCCTAAATAAAAAGGTCTTTGTCCGCTGCAGGAAAGGACAGCAGGGAGGATGCAAATACAGCCTCTCTTGGTGTTCACGTTGAACTAGATGAGTCACCAGGAGGGTCACCTGATCGATAGTTGGTTTGCTTTGTTAACAAACACACAGTCCCTGCAGCACAGTACACTTAGACTCAACCCCTTTTTGACCATGAAAGATATCACTGCTTACCTAGCAGCTAATTGGCCCTAGAAGACAGCTTCCCGTACTTGTTTCCACCACAGTGAAAGTGGGGGCCGTACAATAGGAGCAAAAATCAGTTAATGCCTTCCCTCCTCATGATGTGGTCTCCCCATCGCCCCAGTTTTAGGTTTTAGTATAATGTCTAACTTGGCTCTCCAAGGCTGAATCTTACTGCTCTGAATGTGTTTTTGGTGTTGCTTTTATTTACAGTTTCTTAGTGTGGTATTTGTTTTTTCTTTTTTAATTATTTGTATATTGACTATTTTTAGCTTTTAATGTTTTCTTTTAATGATGTAGGCCACCTTGGGTCCTTCATAAGGCAAAATGCAGGGTAAAAATATTTTAAATAAACAAATAAATAAATATACTAATGATGAATAAATATGCATAGGATCAGAGCCTCGTGGTGCAGTGGTTAAACTGCTGTACTGCAGCCAAAACTGTGCTCACGACCTGGGGTTCAAACCCAGGTAGCCGGCCCAAGGTTGTCTCAGCCTTCTATCCTTCCGAGGTTGGTAAAACGAGTACCCAGCTTGCTGGGGGGGGGGATGTGTAGCCTGCATAATTAACTTGTAAACCACCCAGAGAGGGCTTGAAGCGCTATGGGGTGGTATATAAGCAGCATGCTTTGCTTTAACTATGTGTGTGTGCTGTTAAATTGCATCTGACAATAGCAACACTAATAAGGTTATTAAAGTATGTGAGATATTTAAGGAGTGGTTTCACTAGCAAACCGCCCCCCTCCCAAGTTTCACTCTATCCACTGGAATCCTGTGTAATATAAAAAAAAAATTAAACCATTATTCTCACAATTTTATTTTTCTTATAACAAGTTACCCCAACTGGGGAGCTAACCAGCTTTTAGGTTTATGGCCTTTATTTTCTTTGCTTGAAAACCTATAGTGCTTTTATGCAAATTAACAATAAAAATAAATTTGCATAACTGTTTGGTTAAATACAACAAAGAATTTTATTATAAATGTTCTAGCAGTTTAGCCTTTCAGGGCAGCTTGTTTGTTTTGCTTTTTAATTTAGTTCATTGTTACTTGCTGACGTTTGCAACTTTCTCCATTGTTTTCAGCCAAGTAATGGTGGTGGTAAGCAAAAATGAGTTAATTCCCCCTTAATTCTGCATTATTTAATTATTTGCACATTTTTCTTTTCTTCAGAGGCATAACGGATCTAAAGACAGCTTGCTAGAAGAAAAGGCACAGACATCCATCAACAACTTGGATGGAAGGCATAGCACTAAGACTGTAAAAACTGTACAAGCATCACGGGTTAAGATAGAGAGCTGACTGGTACAAAAAGACTACAAGTTGATGTTGCATCCTGAAACTGCAAACTCCAAATACATCAGTCAAGTGGACATTGGCCTAATGAAAAGCAAAAATATAAACTATCTTATCTTTAAAAACATTTTTAATCTCACCCTGATTGCATTGGAGGCGGCACTGAAATGACCAGCTTTTTGAACAAAAATGCAACTGTTGATATATGGAGAAAGACCTATGGCAATGCCTTCCCATAAAGCAGTAGTTACCAACTATTCCTTTTCTAGACAAAATACAGCTAATTATAATAATGGACAGACAGTATCCTGGGAGACATATTTGATATCAGGAGTGGAAGTATTAATAAAAGGTCAATGCGCTTGCCAAATGTGCAATAGTGGTTGTTCTTCACAATGAGGGCTGTAATTCATATACCTATACTTGCGTATCATTTCATACACCATTCTTGTTGACAGCAATGTTTAATATTTTATTAGAATGCGACCAAATCTACATCAAATGCATCGTATAAAGTATTTGTTTATCAAAACAGGCTTCCTTTCAGATTTTACATCTTGTTTTCTAGTTGTCAGTGACTCTTCATAACTCATGCTTTTTGTTAAATCATTGCAATGACTGGAAAGAAACACATCTGCGTGGAGGGGAAAATAAATTGCTACTCCTGACTTACTAGCTTTTTCACAAATACTGTAGAATTATTTTTTGTGTACTGGATCACTTATGAAGAAGAAATAGTCATCTAGCTAAATGTTCCTGGAAGCCTCCAGGAGTGGAAATTAATCTTTTGAGTCCTGCTCCCTCTCATCTTCTAACATGCAAAACCTCACTTTTTATCAAACTAGAAGTGGACTTCCAACCAACTTCAGTTACTGCACACACCCACACCCACTTCTTAGGGACTTGGTTAAGAACATTAACGTGCCTATTTTAATAAGACTGTTATATGGCTAGAAATTTCAAGATGAACACAAGGAACTGATTTTTTGCTTCACTTTTTTCATATATAACATCTTTTTATGTACTGAATCATTTATGAAGGCGAAATAGATATCTAGCAATTTTTTTCTGTCTTGAAATCACAATTCTTTCAGAATATGTGAACATCAATACCTATGTTCCTCCACAGGAAACAATTTGTCACCATTGATTTCCATTTATCCATGTCAGAAGTTCCATGCAGTTGCTGCACTGCCTAACCCCTAGATGTCATAGCCAGTGGTGATGGATGATGAGAGTTGCACTCCAACATCTGGAAGGCAGCATAATCCCCACCCTTGCTCTGTGTTATGTTGAACTCATTGCTGATCTGTTTCATCAATAATTCTTACTCAGATTCTAGCTCAGTCAGGAGCGAAGGTATAATCTGATGCTGAATCAGAATTTGGGTCACTTAACTGTAGACATCCATATAATGACATAGACATGCTTTTGTATAACAGATTGAAAAATGTTACCATCATTATCTGTAGCTGAATGGGGAATAAAACAACTAAGTAGCATGTACGTCTTCAACTCATGGGTCATAGTCCTTATGGTGTTTCCTTGCCTTTTTCTTTCAGCTACTTTTCACTTAAATTTCTTCCCTTCGAGACTGCCTACTTTGCTTGATTCTACTACAATGAAGAATATAATTAGCTTGTGTTACCCCTCATTCCAGTAGCTGAGTCTTCAAATCAGACATCGGAACCTAGACTCCCTCTAGTGTAGGGGTCTCCAAACCTTTCAGTATGAGGGCCACATGTATTTTACACATTTTCGAGCCAAAGGAAAAAGTAAGTTTTATAATGAATGAACAACAAATGGGTTTCCCCAAGAGGGTTTACGCAGGACTCACCGCCTTCCCAGGGCTGGTCCAAAGCAGAACTAGTGGAGCAGCAGCAAGGGCATAGGAAGAGGAGGAAAAGAGGAACCCAAATGATCCCCCACCCCTGCTGTCTTTGCAAAGACAGTGGGGATCACTTCATCCCCATCTCTAGTCCCTACCAATTCATTCTAGGCAGCTGTGGACCCGTAGCATACCGACTGGGCCAGGTAAGAAGGCAAGGCAGGCTGGATGTGGCCCGCGGGCCATAGTTTGGAGACCTCTGCTCTACTGAGTTGAGACAATCCAGAGTTCTGTCTGGCTTCTACTTTCATTCTGTTCAATTTGTTGCTTGTTTCACCACTACCTTTTCTTATTTTTCTCTCCTCCCCCTTCTACTTGCAAAAGGAAGTTCTAGGCCTGTCCATCAACTCAAATCAGCCTGATCATGGAGGAGACTGAGTAGCAAGTCTCTCACTTCTCCCCTCTGAAAATTATCCACATTCAGATGAATTCAGGGCAACATCTTGTAGAATCCCATGAGGTGGCACTCAAGGACAGGAGATCATCTTATTGCCCAGAATAAGAAATGAAGACGTTTTTTCCTTTCATATTAAGATGATAAAAGATGGTACAGATATAATCCTTTCATTTGCCTGAATCATACTTCAGAGATAGAGAATCTAGAATTTAGAACACAATTACTAATCTTAGTAAAAATAATAGACCTGCAGCTCCCACCCCCGGAACTGTTTTTCTTTAGGCTTGTTACATCCCCAACTAAGAATTGTCCTTCTCCATGGTAGAGAAAGCTACACTGATGTTTACCGTAAGTCATGCTGGAAGGACATTCTTCCTCATCTACACTGAGAAAAACTGGGGACAAATTATTTATTCTTTGCTGCTTCACCCTGTTTGCTTACTTTTCCTATTAAGAATTAACGTCATTTCCCCCTGGATTTTGTGAATGTCTTCATAGTTGGTTGAACAGACTGGGAAGCCTGGATTATCACAACTCACTAGAGGGTGCTCCAGGTTGAGACAACTGATTTGAGAAATCCTACCCGTCAGAGCAAGTGCACAAGCGGCAATTCAAAGAATGTTCTCCTTCCAATGTAGAGAATGTATGACTTACAGTGAGCAACAGTTTACTGATTCACAATGGACCAAATACTTTCATTACATAACATGCTCAAGTTTTTACTTAAGAGCAACAGCATTTGTTCGTCCTGATAAGTGTATTATTTACAAGGACATTTTGAGGACACTGAGAAATTCCTCAGTCAATATAGCTAACAACGCAGTAAGAAAATCAGATTTAGATCCAGTTACTTCCTATCCAGATTCATTTGACAGAATGCTTTCCATAAATCTTTAATTAACAGCTGCTGACCTTAAAAACATCTAAAATTGTATAAATCCTGAACACAGGATATGCATCTGTGCCTGCAATCTACACAAAACCTTACGAAACCATGAATAAGAGCACAAGAGAAAAGACAAGATTCTTGTAGTACTCTAGTTCCACATATCTTTTTAAATCCTGCCCCATTCACTCTACAGGTTTATGGTTGGTTTGTCTTCCAGGTACTCTATTAAACACATGCTCACACTTTCAAAACTTTGATAATTTCTATTCTCAATTTTCCAGCATATCTACTACCCACATCAAATACTTGTTCACTTTTCTGTATTAAGTCCAACAATTATTTCTCATCCTCTTTAAAGAACCTTATGTATAGTCTGAACATATCTAGTACAGCAAGTACTCTGTCAATTATTTTTCTTCTTTTTACAGCACATAATTATGTGACAAATGATACTGAAAACTGACATGTTTTATATATATATATATTCCTACAACAGAATCAAACGTGAGCACTAATTGCACTGGTCTACAATTTTTAGAAGTCATCTCCTTCAGAGATAAAATGTGCTACTTATTATGCATTTTGTTGTGCTGAATTCAAATACAAAAATTAAACAACTGATTGGCTATGGTTTCCAATATATTTAAGTGTTTACATTTCACATCTATGTATATTGTGTAGACAAGTAGCTTTTTAATCATAAATTGCAAACCTAGGTCTTTTCATGTGTTTGTGGTTGTTTCACATGATTATTTCAGCTGTCCTGTTTATATAGAACTTTAAAAATCAGCAAAAGGGTTATATAAATTAAATTTATTATGAAACAAAGACAAAAAACTATTATGTACATAGTTTAGTCCCATTCAGTGCTTTTTGGCTTGCCTCTTCTATTTATTTGTTTGATTTGTATACTGCCCATCTGGCAGCCAAGGCAATTCTGGGCGGTTTACAACAAATTTACAACAAGTAACAAGTTTACAACAAGTAACAAAAATAGCAAACAACAACATAAATACATCGGGGCAAAAATCAAGTCATAAAGTGCAGTGAGGATAAAGTTACAGCACAATAAATATAATCAAAAGCATAGAAAATTATTATACAGTAGTGTATTCATTAAATCGAGCATTTCTTGCCATTATCCAGCAACTGTCTGCAAGCACTGATTGGCTCAATTTGCCCCAAAAGCATTTCTCCATTGTTGCAGCGTCTTGGTGAAATCACTCACCATGCCTATTGCTCACTGCTGCAGTTTGATGGAGAAAAATCTAGATTAGAGTGCAAAAATTGTTATCTTTAGTGATAAGCTGGAAACAAGGCATTTGTATGCCTTGAGTTGTTCAGTTTATTGTGTCAAAGAAAATTTATTGCCACTAACTGGAAGGCTTTCCAAGCAGTCTTTTCCTTGCCACACAGTACATGGTTGAACGCATCATCACAAAGAAGTTCACAAACTGGAGGACCCACAAAGATACCTTCCTTTATCTTAGCTTCACCAAAACTTTTAACTAATGTTTAACTAAACTTTATACTAATTTTCCATGGAGGTACTTGAAAGTTGCTTGTGTTTTATCCATGGCCTTGACAAAGTTCTTCATTAGACCCTGCTTGATGTGTAAGGGTGGTAACTAAATCTTCCTTGATTCAACAAGTGGTTGATGCTCAACACTTTTCCTCTCATGCTCCAATGACTGTCAGAGTGACCAAACTATCTTGATGCTGTGGGAATCGCTTGCATGACCACCCCATTCATAGGGAAAACAGCAGTACTTTGTGTATCCAGTCTGCAGACCAAGCAAGACAGCAACAACCTTCAAATCACCACAAAGTTACCACTGATATTGGTCACCATTTATGCACCTCAGTTGTTTCATGTTGTCATACATTTCCTTCATATACCAAGAGATTTCACTGGTATAGTCTGGAAGCCCAACTACTCTTCCTAACTCTTCAGAAGTACCAAATTCCTGACAAATTCATTCAGTTTATCTTGTTATGAGGGGTGATTGAGAGGAGGATGAAAGGAAATGTGGGTCCTGTGACATTGATGGTTCATGGCCAGAAGTTTCATCCTCTTCCTTGTCTGACTCAAGTGAGAATGACAGTGCATCAGGAACCAGCAGTCTTTCTCCATGGGGTACTGAGTACATACTGTAGGTAAGAAGCCTCGTGGCGCAGTGGTTAAACTGCTGTAACAGCCAAAACCTTGCTCACGACCTGGGGTTCAATCCCAGGTAGTGGCTCAAGGTTGATTCAGCCTTCTATCCTTCCGAGAGGGCCGTAAAAAGGATTCCCCGGCCGGTGGGGGGGGGGGCAATGTGTGTGTAGCCTGCATAATTAACTTGTAAACCGCCAAGAGAATGCTTGTAGCGCTATAGGGGTGGTATATAAGCAGCACGCTTTGCTTTTTTACTTTGCTTTAATAGAATGTCTGGATAATGCAGTCCATTTGTGTTCTTCTTTGACACACTGTGAGGGTTCGTATGGAGCCTCCTTTTCCTTTTCAAATAAAGCAGGAGTCACTTGTAAGTTTAAACCAAAACTTGGATTTATTGAGTTATTCAGGTAACTTCTCTCTTGTCGCCAACGGACAATGCAAGGGCAAACACACATCTGCCTCAAACGGATTCAAAGATTTGTTTTCCCAAGGTCCCTGCAAAAAGGGGTCACCATCTCTCTCAAGGAGTTCCTTTTCTTCAGTTCTTAATAATGGTACGGTCTCCTCATCTAGGGTCTCTCCCCAAAGGTGTTCTCTCTCCCTCTCAAAAGGGGTCCAGGTATTCCCTCCTCCGAGCTTCCTCCATATGCCACACCAGACGTTCTTGCTCTTCTCGGGCTACCACCTCTTTCTCCTCCCTTAGGTGTCGCCGCCACTCACGAGCCCCCAACTCACGCCAATATGACGGTATTTTGGGTAGTCCTTGTCTCCTGCGGTAATCTGCCTGTTCTCGGGGTACTCTCACTTTTTCCCTCTTGCCCGTCCAAGAATCCTCTACCCAGATGAGTTCCCAACCCCCTGGTATTGGATCTCCCTCCCTTTTTATCTCCCCCATTCCTGCCTCTACCACGGGCCACCCCTTTTCTTCTTTTCCCGTGAACTCCTGCTCAGTTTGTGTAGCAACCTTTACTTTCAATAATCTCTCCTCCAGCTCCCGTTGTCAATTCCCTGTTGGACAGTCTCTCTGGGTGGTGGAGGTGGGCTAGTCTGAACCTCCTGAGTAATCTTAAGGGTGGATGGCACTCCAACGAGAGCTTCTATGCTTTCGTCTCGGGTCTCACACACACCTCTCCCAACTGGAGGCATCACGCAGAAGTAACAATTGCTGGTATGTTCTGTTGGCTCTCCCCAAATCACTGGCACTATAAAAGGCATAGATTTCTTTTCCTGTTCAACTACTGGTGAAGATTTGTTGCACAAGTGTTGCAGCATATGTTTGGGGCTCACCTCTTGTCCTGACCTCCAATTCTACAGCCAAAATAAAGGCGATAGGCTTTCTTAACCATAGTGGTTATACTGAGCTTTTGTAATTCACAAGTCCACTTCACCACATACACAGCAGAAGTTATCTGCACTGTTCACACAACACTGAAGACCAGTGAACCCTTCTGTAAGACTGTTGTCAATCTGTTTTCTGGCACTGCTTCTTCTACATTTTCTTCGTTGTCTGGCACTGGCTCAGAACTGCTCATCTCCATCAAGTCGTCTTGTGTTAATTCCTCTGGGGTGCTGTTCATTAGCTCTTGAACTTCTCTAAGAGCACTTCCGGCATCACCAATGGCACTTTCGTTGGGTCCCATAATTTTTTCATGTTTTTGGCGCTGAGCCTCTTTAAAGAAAGCTAAAGGACAGAAAAAGCCTCTATCAGAGGGGGGAAAACATAGGGACAATCTCAGCTCCTCCTCCACCAATGGAGCAGCGCACTTCTGTAGCCTCCCCCAACCTGTGTCAGCCTCCCAACACAACCCAGCACTCTCCCCTGCCACCACGTGGAACTCTGTACAGTTCTATACAGTTAATGGAGCACAAAGATTGTAAGGAGTGTTATGTTCTAGCTGAAAGGCAGACAAGGTACATAACCTGATCTTCAACATGACAGCTACAGTTAATGTATGCCTTTTCTGACACCACATTCACTGAAGGAATGAATGAATGGGCAACACAAAGGCAAAAATTACACACCGCAGTGCAAGTCCATGTAGGATTGAATGCATTAAACAGCTGATGAAAGAAAGCTTGTATGTGCCATACCTGAATCTTGAAGTGTGTCTTTCAAAACTAGGGAGACTTTGCCTAGACCTGAAATAAACAATACATTAAACTATTAAAAACTCATCATTTTAATGATTAGGTTGTACAGTACATATAACATTTCTCATCAATATGGTTGCAATTAGCTGCTGTCCATAATTGAGCAGCTGCATGCACACAAATGTAGTTTTAGCACACCTGGAGTATCAATAAATAATAAATAAATAAATAAATTGCAGAAAATACTTCCCAGAATGGCTGGGTTTGTCATATGCAATCTTCTAAGTAGCATACACTACATATGCCATTTCTTGAGGTAAACAAAATATACAAATAGTACAGCATAGCATGCTCTTATCCACTGTAAAAAAACTAATCTGCAGTCCTACATAAGTGTGGAGACCACACACCAATTATATGTAGCTCTCTCTAGTCTATGGAGCCCTGAACACTTTCTCTCATCATCCAACTGATCATGTTTAAGCTGGATTTGTGGGAGCCAGACAAGAGATAGTGTTGCTGCTAAATGCTAGATCAGTAAATGGGGAAACAAACATCCAGGATTTCATCCCGCATGAAGATGCCAATCTGGCTTGCAATCTGGGGCGTCAATCTCACTCAACTTTGTCCTCCAAGGTTTTCTGTGAAGCACCAAGCAAGACCAAGGTGGGTGAGTGGTAATGTAGAGTTGTAATGGTCTATTGTGATTCTATCTCCCTCACGAGGTATCACACTGCCGTCTTCCAGATCTGAATATATGTGAAAGTAGGAGCCCAGGACAGAATAGATTCTGTTGGTGTAGCACCCACGCCACTGCTCAACAGTTTCCCTCCATAAGCTAGCAGAGCTGGTCTTGGGAGTGGTGTTGGGAGTCTCCTTGACTTATTTATTTATTTATTGCACTTTTATGCTGCCCATCTAGACATTGTCTACTCTGGGTGGCTCACAACAGAGAAAATAAAAACAGTTAATACATAATAATTTATCAACAATATACAATGATAACAATAACTCAAGGTGGGATGAAAGAATAAACTAAGTTGTGACTGGAGGGAAGGCCTGTCTGAATAACCAGGTTTTTAAAGATGCCCAGCGAGGGCATTATTGTGCTGGGAGGCTTTCAACATCCATGCCAAGGCAGTTAACAGGAACAGTTCAAGACTTCATGTCCTGCGTGACAATCAAGGGTCTGTCCCAAATGGTATCCAAACCCACCCATGCTGCAAGGCACATTTTAGACCTGGGTCCTATGTACTGCGGTAGGTGCTAGAGATGTGGGTGTGGAGAAACTCTTGACAGTCCTCTTGCCATGGACAGGTCATTTTCTGGTAAGTTTTAGACTCTCTATAACTCAGAGTCTCTGCAAGAGTAAGGGACCAATTAAGATGGTATGCCCTAGGAAGCTGATGAATCCAAATGGTTTCCTGATGGCTCTTGGGGAGTTTCCTGTTGCCTTGGCAGGCGATTCTGTTGAAGCCCTAGTTGATTTCTGGAATGGGGAAATGGTCAGGGCTATTGACATGATCACTCATAAGCATCACCTCCTGTGAAGCAGAGTCAAACTGGACCCTGGTTTACTGGGGAGCTGATGGTAATGAAACAAGTGGAACGGAGATGACAGCAATAGCAGAGAATATGGAATGAAAATGTTGGAAGTCTACTCTGTGCCAGTGGTGGTGGTGAAGTCATTTTTTCCTACACCACTGAGTCTGCACAGAGTTGTCCAGTGGAGCTCTTTCACATGGTCAAGGGCCAACAGAAAGAGAATGCAGAACAGATTGTAGCTCACTGTGAAGTGTCTGCATGACACTTCGTAGGCAAAATGGCTCGAATCTCCTCCAACCTGGATACTGTAATTCATACAGGTCCTACAAACGTAACTATTGCCCCTACTTGTCCTGTGCAAGTTTCCTTAATTCTCCAAGACTTCTCAGCAGTTTTCAATACCAGTGACCACGGAATCCTTCTGGGCTGTGTCTTTGGGATAGGATGTGCAGACACTATTTTATGGTGGCTCCACTTCCTCTTGAAGGGGAGAACCCAGACAGTGGTACTGGGGGACTCCTGTTTGACACCCTGGCCATTGGCCTGTGGTGTCCCTTGGGGTTCTATTTTGTCCCTTATGCTATTTAATATGCACATGAAACTACTGGGAGAGGTTGCACAGAGTTTTCGGGTTCGGTGTCACTAGTTAGCGAGCTTTATCATCTTGTTAGCCCCGATCTGTATTTAGGCCACCTATGCTAGTATTTGTACCATAAAGCCCCACTAACACTGACTGATCTCCTTCCAAGAGAGACAACACAATGTCCAACCCAATTTAGGACTGATTTAAAGTTCTTTCTTGTTCAACAACACAAACATCAACATCTATTTCCTTTGTTTAAAAAATGATGTTAGTTGCATGCATGGCATCACTAATTGTTTCATTTCTAGTTTTTTACTGCACAATGCAAGTTAACAAGGACTGAGATCAAATGTAAAGCCTTCAGATGAAAAAGAATGATATTCCTGAAAAATATAAGGGAAGGATTACAAAGCCATCCAAGAACTTCAAGGATGCAAACAGGCATATATTGTTGTCCCACTGCAGCAAACCCAGTGCAAACAAAACAATTCCTAGGGCAGCAAAAACTGCAAAAGTGGAAAACTTGTTTTATGCCTTCTCTGACACCACATTCATTAGCAACCAAGATGAATGGGCAACACTGAAGGCAGGAGACACAAAGGATAGAAACCAAACGGGCAAAGATAGGCATCTGTACATCCACTGTACAGCTACGCTAGGCCCTTTCGTGTCCCATAGCTACATTATGCGTATTTCTGAACACTTAACTCTGGCTTAAAATTAGGCTTTGGAGACAAGATTAACTATATTTCTAGTTTCAAGTCATGTTGGCATCTCCATTCATCACACACATTCCAAAATGGTGCCAGAGGTGTCCCTTACTCCATCACCCCGTCATTGTTCCTCCACTTTACTCTCGTTCCCGTTACTCGAGAGTTACCTTTTCGGAACTCAACGCCCTAGAATATTCCAAAGGGCGTAACCATCACTTTCTTGAGCTCGGCCGAGCGGGGCGGGGCGTCTGCAGTTGAAGTAGTGTGTGTGTGTGTGTGTGTGTGGGGGGGTAAAGTAGGAGCCACGTGCAAATCCTGCGGTTCTCGGAGGCTTTTGCGGCGGTCTATGCTGCTCGTTTTCACAGCACAGCTCGGGTCTGGCTCCGCAGGAAGGGGTGCAGAGCGTGCCTCGGCTGGAAGCGGCTCTTTCCCGCCTCAGTCAGCCCTTCCCTTCCCTTCCTTCGAGGGCCCCGTCGGAGCCCCCTTGCGCTCCGAAGTCGGCCTTCCTGAGCCGCTGGTTCCGAGAGTTGCCTCCGGCCATATAGACGGCGACTAGGGAGAAGCCTCGGTGCCGCCTTTCCCCTCTCTATCGGGGTGCCTGCACGAGGGGCAAAAGCAGACGACTCAAGCCCTTCTCTCTCAACCAGAGCCCTGACGCGCGGGAAATAGGCCAAGAGGAGCTGCGCTCCGAGTGAACAGGGGGAAGAGAGAGGCGAACAGGAGGCTCTCCGTTGCAACTCGAAGCCACCGCCTCCTCGGGCCGATTGCCAAGCGAGAAGGGGCGACCAGAGCAGCCCCTGCCGAGGTCAGACCCGCTGTGCTGGACCGTCTGCCTTCCCCCGCCACAAAAACGAAGGCCAACGAACCCGTCCCCCAAACCGACCTCTCCGGAACCTGCCCAGCCCGAACCTGCGCCGGCCTCGCCACGCGCGCCTCCCTCCGGTTCCGAGCGTTGCTCTTCCCTCCCTCCCTCAGTCCCGGCTCTGTCACTCGCCCCGGTTAACCTTTCACTGGCCTCCATTACAGCTTCAACGGCCGCAACACGGACCAGGCAGCGCGCGAGAAAAGGCTTGATTTTTCTCCTTCCGGCCCCTATATGGTCCCCTTCGGGATGAACCATTACAAACAGAGGGGGGGGGAAGAGAACGAGAGAGGCGGACTATTCAGCTCTGCGAGCGGCTGAAAGGAAGAGTCGCTTTCGAGGCAAGGAGAGGAAACCCACGTATTTACCAAAAGCGCAGAAACTCTGCTCGCATCTCTCGAACAATAAAAACAAATTATCTGGAATGGACCAACTCGGCTGGCTCCTCCCTTTTTCCAAACGGTCGCTGAGCCACAGAGCTAGGCAAGTAGAGGTAACTCACTTGCCGCTTTAAAGGCTGGGTGACCTGTAGAAAGTCACACCTGTTATTTAGAGTTGGAAGCTATTAATATTCCTCTTTTTCTCTCCGCCTCTATCCCATGCTTTATAACTGCTGCAGAACTCAAGCTCAAGAAAAAACTGCTTTCCAAATTTGCTTTAAAAAAAAAGGAATAGTCGATGCCCAGTCGGGTATTTGCTTTTTAAGCTCGCTTACTTCTAGTCCCCCCCCCCGTGACTTCTCCATTTATATGGAAGATAGTGAGATCAAGGGACTTGTTAGTTTAACTGGAAGACTGACTTTTTCAGCAACCTGAGGTGCATTTCGTGTTTTGGTGGTGTGTGTGTGTGTGTGCTAACTGGAAAGCCAAGGTGACCCTTCACAGAAACTGACAAGTAACTTCCACCGAAGTACACTAAAGCATTCATTTCATATACACGATAGTGTCACAAATGATGGCTGGTTGTGCACACTAGCATCGAACTGCTAGTACACTGCCAGGGTTCCTTCCCTCTGATTGTGCACGACTATACAGTACACGGAAAAGCAGAATCAGGACTTGGTTACACTGTCTTGCTTCCAGGGATAGGGATAAATCACTTTTAACAACCTGGGATTGTGGGCTAATGACATGTGCATTGTATTTGCATTTGCAGCCCAATTTTTCATGTAAAATAAAAATAGAGGAGCATAAACTCCAAGCTTAACTTCTCCTTTTCCTCCAGGGGCAAAGTATATTATTGCAGATATGTTCAGAGTTTTGGATGTTCTATTGACCCAGGAACAACTGTTATTAGGTATGTCAGAGGCAAGGAGAAAAATAACTTCCTGTGTCACCAGTTAATCCCATTTTCAATTAAGGGAATTAAAACTCTTTTAAATCCTGTGAGCATAACAGGGACTTGTCAGTTTGGGATAGGGTCATTTGTTCTATCATAATGAATTTTATATAATGAGTTTGTCAAGGCCAAGAACTCATATACGTATACAAAACTGAATTTTGCTCATTTGGAGGCTTTCAAAGAAAAGTGGCTAAGCCTGTCATATTAGCCACATTCATCAATACAGTAGTGCCTTGGTTTACTGACGCCTCTGTTAACATAATTTTCGGTTTACGGATGGAAATCCATTGAAAATAATGCCTTGGTTCACGGGTTTTTTCCTGCAGTGAAAAGCAAGTTTACCCAGGATGCATTGTGCCTGGAGTTTATAGCCATTCCTATGGCACACCGCATTTCACATGCATTGTGCCTGGAGGTTTATAGCACCGTCCCCATTCCTATGGCACACCGCATTTCAGTTTACGAATTTTTCGCCTTACGTAACATCCCAGAGAATGTGTTCAATTTGTAAACCAAGGTATGCCTGTAGTTCATTCACTTGCTTTTCCCCCAGTGGCATTTTCTGACCCAAAACCTGTGCTAACTCACTTCACCTGACATTAATGATAGTTTATGTACCTGACTTTGTCTACCTAAAAAAAAAGAAACAGTCAAAAAACTACATTGATATGACTTAAGGGTGATCAAAGAATTCAAGGATGGTACAACCACAATCCAATAAATAAGGAATGGCACATCCAAGGTGAACTAGTTCTCATAATGTTTGTGTCCTGAGGAATCCATGACTTGAAAGAATTAGTGCTAAATATATCAGGCATTCTGTTTTGCGTTCTGTTAGAGAATAGCAAAAGGTCTCAAAAAGAGGAAAGAAGGGAGATGACCTCTTGATTCCTTAAATCCCGTAGTGGCCAAAGTCTCTTCCTGATGTTACACCCACTGGCTGAAACCTTGCTGCTTAACATAGTAAATTGTGTGAGAGTACATTTATTGAATCTGTGGCGACTGAGTGAGTCAGCTCTTCCATGAGTTCAATTGATTGCATGGACCAGTGTGGTGAGGGACCTGATGTCAAGGTCCTCATGAGTTCCATTGATTGCATCTGGGCAATCCACCTAAGGCAGAAAATGTGGAATGGACCACAGATGCTACCTAGGACTCCATTGATAGCACTGGGTCCAAAAGTATACCCAGGCTGCCAACCTCATCCTTAGCGGAGAGAATAGCCCCCCCCACCCAAAGGAGAGGGAAACCCCGAAACTATAGACACTAGTGGCACCGATCTGCAGGACTTCCATCTTGTCTGAGTCAGTCTATTGTCCCTCATCCATCCCAGCACAGTGTCCAGGCAGCACTCAAGGGCCAGGAAGGCATCCTCTGCAGAAGGATGGAAGGAGAGATAGAGCTGGGTGTCATCTGCATATTGGTGAAGCTCAAAAACCTCAGATGACCGCCCCCAGCAGCCTCTTATATTGAACAACAATGAGATGATTGACCCCTGAGGAGCTCCACAATTAAGAGTCCAATGGGTGGACATCATCTCCCCAAGCTGAACTCTCTGAAGATGGTCCTCTAGGAAAGACCGAAACCAGGACAAAGCCAAGCTACTAATTCCCAACCTAGAGAGCCTCCCCAGGAGAATACCATGGTTGATTGTATCAAAGGCTGCTGAGAGGTCGAGGACGACCAGCAAGGATATTTCCACCCCACCCCCTGATCTCCCTCAAAAGGTCATACATCAGGGCAACCAATGCCATCTCATATAGGTATTTCCAAAAGCAATAAAATCTCTGTACTGTATTTTTTAAAGTGTTCTAAATGTTATTTTAATCATCATCATTCTCATTGTCACTTACATCACTTTGTGCATGGTTCTATATAGATTACAAGAGACCAGGTCCCTGCCCTAGGAAGTTTGCAATCCATACGTCATTCCTGGTAAACAACGGAGGAAGCACATGCAGCTGGTTCAGCTTCGCTACCACAGCTGAAAACTGTTGGCAATCTCAGTGGGGCCATGAGCCAGTTTTCATATTTGCTGTCAGTCCTATGGCTGCACTCCCAAGGGGTGGGGAACAAGAGAGGAGAGTAGCCAGGAAAAGATAATTTGCATATTTTAAAAATGCAGTGGTTATGCATTGTAAAGGTTCTTAAAGTGGACTGATTTAACAAAACTGGTGTTTTTTGTTTTGTTTTAACTTTAACTCTTATGTTGTGGCCAAGTTTAAAAAAAGAATTTGGGAATATGGGGTCTTAGGGATGCTGTGGTCACCTCAAGACATGACAAAATTGTCCCCCTGCTTCCTAAAGGGCACAAGAGTACTTTCTGAGTGACAATTTTCTTTCAAAATTTTTTCTTAAGATGAGTTGAGGGCTAGAGTGCAAAAATGACCCCAGGTAGCCTCATGCTACCTGTTGCTCACCTGTAGCTAAAGCGCAGTGGCAATTCAGTCATATACGCTTAAACACATTTTCAGAGTGTCGGGCCATCAAATTTAATAAACCATACATAAGGTAAAGGTTCCCCTTGACAATTTGTCCAGACATGTTCGACTCTAGGGGGCAGTGCTCATCTCCGTTTCCAACCCATAGAGCTAGCATTTGTCCGAAGACAATCTTCCGTGGTCATGTGTTCACGTGGTGACTAGACACGGAACGGCATTACCTTCCCACCGAGGTGGTACCTATTTATTTACTCGCATTTTTCATTTTGCATGCTTTCGAACTGCAAGGTTGGCGGGAGCTGGGACAAGCGACAGGGGCTCACTCTGTCATGTGGATTCGATCTTACAACCGCAGGTCTTCTGACCTTGCAGCACAGAGGCTTCTGCAGTTTAACCCACAGCACCACCACATCCCATACATAATGCCATACATAGGATGGCATTATTAATAACTCTTCACTGTTGTCCAAGTTGCCACCCAAAGAATTATTATCCAGAAGATATTTAAATGCATACTGCCCCCGTGCAAATTGCTAAGATCCACCCAGAAGATTACCCACACAATTTTAAACTGTGAAGATGCTTCCTCAAGGAAAAGGCTCCATTTTGATGCACTTGATATACCTTGATTTGGACTGTCTGTTTCTTTATGAAGCTGGCTCCCTCTCATCCCTATGTCTTAATCAAACTGGATCAATAAAACTATTAGCTAAATCTTTAAGCTTGGACCACATGGCTGAAGTGTTGTTGTTTTCATTTTTGATGGAGAATGCCAATATTTTGTCTATGTTTTAATTCTAAGGCAGATAATATTTTGCTTAAAAAGTGTAGACCACTTGTTTTTATACGTAAGTGTATGCAGTTTGATCCTATATGTTTACTTAACATTGCAATAAAAATACTTCAATATAAATTCCATTCAGTTCAGTGGCCACATTAATCTGTATTAGATTGCAGCCTTAACATTACTGTCTGAAATTTCATTTTTTACAGATTATTTCTAATAGTAAGAGCTCAAGTGAATGAAGATAAGAATGGAAAGAGATCTATGTTTGCATTCTTAGGGATTTGCTGAGAAACCACTAGGTGTCTCTATGAGTCCAATAATTGTTGAATATTTAGGAGAGAAAAGAACTGAGTACGTACTGTATTTTTAGGACAGCTTCAAACATGACATTTTTCTAACATTACTGTAGTAGGATTTTTTCTCCCAAAATGCCATCTATGAAAATTACTGATAGATCTGTTTGCTTTTTTAGGTTACTCTTGTTCATGTTTTTCCTTTGACCTCACTTCTTCTTGATGGGAAATTATAAATTTGCATCTATGAATTGTGAAACACAAATATGGCACTAGTTACCCTGTTTCCCCGAAAATAAGAGCTAACCTGAAAATAAGCCCTAGCATGATTTTTCAGGATGCTCATAATATAAGCCCTACCCCCAAAATAAGTTCC